GGCGAGCCTGGAGGAAGCCGGACCATCGTAAACCTAAATGTCTTTTCTCTCTCTGTCTCCTGCTGCTCTCGCACCTTTTAGGCTGTTTGTCCGTCACGGCAAGTACGTTCGGTTTGGGGTCCAGGGTGCGCTGGGTGTGAAGGGCTGGCAAGAGGGACAACCAGCCCCCTGCTTGGGCCATGTCCCTAATTCCTGTGTGGGGATACTGGTTACAGCTGCGTGCTTGTTTTGCAGCCTGCCCTGCAAACTGCAGCAGGCAATGCTGCTGTTCTGGGTGGTGGGACTGGAGGTGGCTGGAGCCGGGCTGGGGGCGGGCGGGCATGGTGCTGGTGCACAGGTCTGTTGGGAACAGGCAGCTGCCTTTGGGCTGAGACCCTGCTCAGCTGGGAAGATGCCTGCCGTTCAGTGGCTTTCCATAAATTTTCAGCTGAATGCCAGAAGAGCTTGTTTTACGTTAAAAAAATACTGTTTGAACTCAGTTTTAGATGGAATTGAGGATCTGCACGTGAGTTTTTGGACAGTTTTAGTGACATGTGAGTGAGGGTGGAGGAAGGGGTGCTGCCATCCTGCCCTCTAAAGGGCTGTGCCTCTGTGCACAGCAGCACAGATGCTGGGGTGGGGACCGGTGACCAGTGACAGCACTAGCGCTGAGGGCAGCGTCCAGGCACACCAAGCACATTTGTTTGTGCATGCTGGGAATCACCTCACAGCACTGCTGTTTTTTTCTCTCTTTTAGAACCGGAGATATGTCCTGGCTAACTGGGAAAGGTTCCTAATGCCGCTGGTGGCTGCGCCCTCCTGATGCTGCGCTTGCTGCGGGGAGATGGGATGGCAGCTCCACGGACAAACGGGAACACCGCGGCTGAGTCATTTCCCTTTGAGACTTGGATGAACCCAGTGCCCGTCACTGTACTTACCTTCCCAGCAGACTGCTGACGGCTCCTCTGCCCCGGTGCCTACCGGGCTGGGGCTCTGCTGTTGCAGTTCCCATGGGATGCTGGAAAAGCAGCCCCCAGAGAGAGCAGGGTTTGGCACTGACAGCAGGCATGGGTGCCACGTGGCTGCGGATCCTGCCGATGGGCTGGGGGGTCCCCAGGCGGGTCTGCCCCAAGCATGTCCCTCACCCCCGTAAATAGCGCGAGTGCCTTTCGTTGCTCCCTGTGCTTTCAAGCATGTTGCCCCTTCCCAAATCATCTTCATTCCTGGCAGAGCTCTGATGTGCATCCCCATGGAGCTTGACATCTGCTCCCTCTCTGCACGGCTGCAGCGCTTGCCACAGCTCTGCCTGTGCCCACCCATCCTAGGGAGCACCTGAGGGGGCCAGGGAGATTGGAGTCACATTGGGTGGTCTCTGGACAGCCTGTGTTTGTTTTGCATTCTCCCTTCTCCAGGCTGGTCTCCCTGTCCAGATCCCCCCCATAGAGGTGTGTCCCTGCCTAAGCCGAGGGTTCTGGAGCTTATCAGTCCCCGTCCCAGAACCCACAGTATCTCCCCGTCCTGGAGCAGACAAGGGACTGGAGCGCTGCTCCCCATCTCTCGGGGCTCGTTTGGACTCGGGCACTGGCAGCTCTCGGTCAGTCCCCAGGGTGCAGAGCAGGCGCTCCCTGGAGAGGTGCGACAGCCGAACTGCAGCCCCTAGGCTTGGTAGCCATCCTTCCAGCCAGCCTTGTCATGTCTCTCTCCTTAACGATGATCACAGGATTAGTGCTGCTGCTGAGACGTTACTCAAGGAAAAGTAGCCGGAGGAGTATTTCTGTCTGTCCTCTGGCCATTGTCACTCATTCCTCCTGTCGCCTAGTGACAAGACTGCATTTCTCATCTCGGCTTTCCATGTTGGTGCTCTGCTGTTGTGTTTTCTGCCCCTTGCTGGAAGAAGAGCCTTATCTCCAGCTTGGGAGTGGACCTGGCCAACCCGCAGCCCCATGTCCATCAGCCCAGCAGAGCTGAGGGGGTGAGAACCCCCCCTTGGAGAGCCTCTAGCACTCTGTCCTTGAGGAGGGTTTTTTTTTCCCCAGCAGTCAGTGTTTTACCCTGAGCCCAAAGCAAAAGGATTTATATTTTTAATTTGATTCACCCCCTATGAATTAAAGCAGTACTATTCTTGGGATCTGGATCATCTCTGACTCCTTCCAAGGCCTTGGGTCACCTCTGCAGGTTGACTGGGTGGTGCAAGCACCTCTTCTGTGAAGGCTTCCCACTTCTGGCTAGCTCACCTGTATTTATTTCCAGACTTTCTGATCTTTGCTGGATAGAAATGTCAGCAGTTGTCTGTCATGTCTCCAGTTGGTCTCCTTGTTTCACTGCAAGTTTTTCCCAGGTGGTGTGACCAGAGAGGACAGTAGGCAGGGATGTGCATGCTTCAGCATGGAGCAATGAACAGGGTCCTTGTCTTGCATCATTACATTACAAAGAGATGTGAACTTGCAAGTTTCATCATAGGTCCCAAAAGGCAAATGTTGATGTCTCCGTCCCCAGTGCAGTGTGGGTGAGGGCTTTCTCTGAGGGCAGAGGTGGCCGGGGCTGCTCAGCTCCTGGTGCGCCGGGCAGGGCTTTTGCAGAGGGGCTGGGGCCATGCACGCTGCCCAGGTGGAGGCAGCTGCCCAGCCTGCTGCCCCGGCTCTGCACACTCGACAGGGACATGTGGTTTTGCATCCCAGGTCTTGCTGGTGGGGTGGTCGGACTCTGCTTCAGCAGCTCCCTGGGGTACCTGGCTGGGCGTGCCTGGGGACACCAGGACACCGCATGGTGGCAGCCCCTGGAGCTCTGTGGTTTTTCCCGCTGGGCTCTCCAGCACATCTTCCACTCTGGGTGAGACTGACAGCTCCCATGCTCCCCCAGCACATCTTGGCTGAGCTTTTCCAAGGCCTCTGTCTTCCTGCTCACCTGAAGGCTTGACATCCTCTGGAGTCCTCCTGGACAGATTGTCAGGGCGCTTTGTTTTTCAGGAAGATGCCCTTTGACTCCTTCGTCTCTGCTAGGGCCTCATCCAGTGTCGGGCATGAGCTGTGCACAGGAAGCATCACCCCCATGTTCATGGAGCTGAAGACCACGCAGTGGCTCAGGAAGGACCTTCTGCCCCAGCTTACGGCTGCAGTGTGGGGAACAAGTCCCATTCCCCCTTCTTAGAGAGGAGCTGTTTCAGCTGGGGCTGGGAACATCACCCCATGACACAAGAAACCCCAGTCACCACCGTGGCTTTCCTTAAGACAGATGCTGGCTCATGGGCAGAGCTGCCCGCAGAGCTGGGCATCCTGACACTGACCTGTGGGCATGGCTCCTCCACACCGGTGTGGGAGATGGTGTTGGACTTGGGACCCCTCGTCCAGCACCTTGGCAAATGCTTACCGGTGGTGAGCATGTCCTGAAGTGGGGCAAGGCTGGGTTGTCTCCTCTGCCACCTCTCCAGGCACATCTTTCAACCTCCCATGCCAGGACAAAAAGTTTCCAGCTCTTAAGAAGCCACATGTTCCTATTGGGAATGAGCACCATTAGCTAAACCCAGCTGGGGCAGATGCAGCTTGTTAGTGATCCCCAACTGCATTGCCTCATCATGTTTAGCTTCACCAGATTGCCCACTTAGCTTCTAGGTTGCTCACCTGGGTTGCCCACGTAGACATGATGACCACAGACCCCAAGCTCTCCACCAGCTCCTGCTCCTCAGAGGCTGGGCTTTGCCGGTCACCCTGCCCACATCTCGCCCTGTGTGCTGGCAGGACCCAGGGAGCCATGTGTTGGGCACAGCACACCTTCCGTTCCCGCACACCCAAGAACCCCTCCGGACATCTTGTTGCAGCATCGTACCAGGTGACAGGTTTATTTTTAGTTCCCTTGTGTCCTAAGCCTTCGCTTAAAAAAAATCACTGCCCTGCACAAGATGGTTTCCCAGACTAAGTATGGCCTCACCCTTCATCCATCTATCTCTGCCTTTGCTTTTGCACCTTGGACATTGCTTGGGCGAACGTTGCCTCTTCATGTACTGGCATTTACTCCTAGCTTTGTTCCTTCTTACAACCCCCAAGGAGGTTGTGGCAACACAGTTTCGCCTTCTTCCTTTCCTGCAGTGGCACACTTGTCCCCCTGTCCTGTGGGCTGGCTGCCCTTGTCTCAGCTAGAGTTGGTCTGAGCTGAATGGTGGTGGCCAACCATCTCCAGGCAAGTCTTCCCAGTGTCACTTCTGAGGCTGGGAGGTGTTACAGGCTGTGGTTAAACACCATCCCCGATGCAGTGGAGACCATCTTCTCATCAGTGGCATCTTCAGATGTCTTGTCCAGGCATGGCCAAATAGACCAGAAGGACCTCATGGGCCTTTCTGCTCATCCATTGCCCTCCCTTAGCTCAGTGTCCTTACCTAATAACAGGCCAATGCCTGTAGCAGGGTGTATTTTTTCCACACTTGGTTAGATTTTCTGCAAAACCCACTTCACCTCCGGCTCAACCACCCTCTCACACACACTGTCCCTGTGCTGTCCTCCCCAGGACCACAAGCCTGGATGGGGCCTGGGGACACTGAACAGCATGGAGACCCACAGGGGCAGCCCATTAGCAGGGAAGCTCATGGTGATGGGTAAAACCCTTCATGAGTCTGGAGGCTTTGAAGAAGCATTTCTAGCAAAGAGCACCATCTCCACCCCCAGGGCATCTTGTCTGTCAGGGAGTTTTAAGCAATAATTATGTTGATACAACCCAGCTGGGAGAGCGTGTGGTGGGGCAGAGCAGGCTGGGGATGCCCATCATGGTGATGGGTACAACCTGCTGCTCATCCCCTGCAAGCTGCTGTGGAGGGGAGGTGCTCTGTATCCTTGTGGCTCCCACATGGGCTTGGTGTCCAGGGAGGGGGGAATTTTCCTTCCCCACATCCTCCTCCCAGCTCAGCTGCCCTGGCCCCAGGGAACCAATGGCCAAGTGGCCCCACGCATTAGCCTGACCTGTCATCCCATTAATTACCTTCTGGCTAATCCTGGCTGAGCCGGGCTGGGGCAAACAGGGCTCAGCTGCTGGCCATGGCTGTGCACACCCCTCTGCCCCCCAACCTCCGCTGGGGCTTGGCTGTGTTCAGCAGCTCCCTCTTCATCAACAACAAGACATGGGACAGCGGCGCTGCCCACACCTACCACGCAGGTATGGGCAGCAGGGCTCGGTGGCAGAGGGGAGTGGGGGGGGGGAGGGGGTTGCTGTTGCTTCATCACCGTGAGCCTGCTCAGCACATCACCAGGGTGCTCAGGTGCCTCTGAGCTGGGAGCACCCAAAGGGTACCTGCACTGCACCCACCCACTGATGAGGGGGAGCAAAAATAAGTGCATTTGCTGCAAACAGCCGGTTTTGCTACCCAGCCGCCCCCCTTGGCGTGGCAGGGGCCATCGCTCTCCCCTCCACCAGCTGCAAGGCAGGGGCTCCTTTGGGACAGCAAGACCCTGGGGGTGCTGGGCAGCCCTGCCCACCCCTGCCTGCCCTGCCTAGCCCATGAGGTGCTGGCCAGCCTGCCCCTCCAGATGATGCTCTACTTCAACGTCTACTACTTCCCGGTCTGGTGCCTGGCTGAGGGGATGATGCTGCAGCTGAAGGTACCATCTCATGGGGCACGAGGGGTGTGTGTGGGGGGGAGCCTGCTCCTTGCCCAGCCTCCTTGGTCATGCAGGGGCCACGTTGAGCAGGGGAGAGGGAAGCCTCTTCAAAATTAATGGGTCCCCCACAAGACAAGACGGCTCACCTCCAGCTCCCAGACATGGAAATCATAGACCAACCACTGAACTTTCCAGGCAGGGAAGGTTAAACTGGGAGGGCAGAGTGGGCAGGGCTGGGCACCAACATGGGTGGGAGCTGGCAGAGCATGGGGAGCTGGGCATGGGGTGCAGGGGACAGGGAGGGGGGCACAGGGAGCTGGGCATGGAGTGCAGGGGATGGAAAACGGCATGGAGAGCTGGACACACGGTGGGCTGGGATGAGATTGTGCCCATTACAGTACCACCTGCTGCAGTGGCACTACCAGTTCCTGCTAGTCGCTGCCTTCCTCATCCTCTCACTGGCTGAGGGCTCCCGCCTCTACCTGGGCTACGTGGGGAACCTGCAGGAGAAGGTAAGCGCGATCTCTTCGCCCTGGCCACAAGTCCCCTGTGCTGGGTGAGGGACAGCCCTGCTGGATGAGCTGTGGCTATGCTGGATGTCCCCTTGCTCAGGACCTGAGTGGCTGTCACTTGCCCATTCCTCCTGGATTCCTGCCTGGAGCTGTCCTGGGAGACAATCACAGGTGCAGGCAGGACCTGGAGGCAGGGGATGAAGGGGACCCACTTGCTCTCCTGCTGTACCCCTCCCTGTGCTGTGGGTGCAACGCTCCAGCACTGGGCTTGACAGCATCCCACCACATCCAGGCACAGCTCTGTGTGGCAGAGACATCCCTGGCGCCGGCTGCTGAGGCCAGCAGAGTGGCCGATGCAGGGAGCTCCTGGGGCAGACAGGGTCCCCCCCACCTCACCGATGGCCTCTGCGCCCCATCACAGCAGGCTTTACTTCTGCAGGTGCCTGAGCTGGCTGGGTTCCTCCTCCTCTCCTTCCTGATCCAGCTCCCCCTCCTGCTCTTCCTGCTGACGGACAGCCACGTCATCCGCCTGCCGCTCGAGATGGCCGTGCACAGCCTTTTCCTGGCCTTCCTCGTCGCAGAGATTGTGGCTGCTTTCCTTGCACTGAAGACCATGACCAAGCAGCTGGCGGCACAGTTCTACCTGCGGCAGTTCAAGGAGGGCAGCAGGGGACGGCTGGGGCAGGGGGAAACAGCGGGGCAGGCGGCCGAGGAGGGGTGATGCTGCAGGAGCCCTCCATCCCACGCAGTCAGTCCCGGCAGGGAGCATTAAACAGAGCTCAGACCCCCCGCTGCGCCTCCACGTGCTGTGCTTTTGAGGTGGGCAGCTTGTGGGGTTCCCAGAGCACCCCACGGGCATGGACACAGCCAGTCCCTCCCCTGCACCAGGCCAACAAAGCTCAGGGGAGGTGGGAGCGCAGGGTTCAGCACCTCTGAAATGCTCAGGCTCACCCCAAGGCTGCACTTGGCCTCACTGAACATCAGCCCTGGCAGGAGGCAGGAACCAGGGGGCACAGGAGCCACTGCATCTCCCAGCAAGTAAGTGCCAGCCTAGGGCTGGTGCCTTAAGCTCAGCTCTTAAACCCTCCCTGAGCACAGCCAAAAGGGGGCTGGGGGTCAGCCCTGCTACTCCCTGGGGAGCTCCTGAGGATCTGGGCAGCTCGCATGAAGCCATCCCAGCTGGAGGGAGGCAGGGCGCTGCGACGTGCAAGACAGGCACCACAAAACCTTCACAGCCACCCCCAGGGCTAAAGACAGAGCAGAGCCACCTCCTGCTTTCTGAACAACTTTATTTCATTGCATCCGTTTTTCATGGGAAATCAAGGCCATCTGGAACGTGAAGAAGCGCAAAGTGCTTTGAGCCTCTTGTGCTAAGCATGGGCCAGCTGCTTGCCAGCAAGCTCTAGTTCCCACAGCAGCTCCACAGCACAGCTCTGCTCAGTCACCCGCCGGTCAGTGCTGGGAGCTGCACATGGGATGGCTTTGTGCTCCAGGAGCTGAGAACTTCTGCTGATGCAAATGTGTCTCCAGGAAAGGCAGATCCTAATCCCAGCAGCACACACTCAAGCCAGAACTGGGCCACCGCCACCTGGGCTGCAGCCATGACCGCATCGCAGCTACCTGGAGGTTGCTCCGGAGTGAAGGGTGCTTGTGGCAGAGCATTCCCGATGTCCCTAAGCTGCAGCCTCTGTCTTACCTTTAGGGGGTTTTGCCTGCAAAATGAACAGGGGCCTCTTAGTATACTAGAGACAAGGAGGCAGCCCAGGCAGGTACTTCTGCGCTGCTCTGCTCAGTCCCATGCGACCACATTCATTGTTTGAGACCCCAAGTCCACTTGTGATTTGAGATCAGGCATTAGGAACAACTTTTTTTCCCCCAGCAGGATGGTGCAGCCCTGGGGCAGTTCACTGGAAACTGAGGCAACTCTGTGCTCAGAGTTTTCTAAGACTTGACCAGATAAAGCCAAAGCTGACCCAAGCTAGGGCTGGCAGCCCTCCTGCTCTGCAGGGGCCTCCTAGCCCACACCCTGCAACTCCCTAATTCACCAGGGCTGGACAGTGCCAAAGTGGGAATCACACACAGCAAGAAAACCTGTCACTGAACTGCAGCATCAGCACCGATACAGCACCAGGGCACACTCTGAAGCGCTGCCCTCTCTCCACATGGAGTTTGGCCAGATTCAGTTCAGAAGAGGGTGAATAAATGTGGAGCTGGGTCAGGTTTCTACAGTAAGGTCGCCCTGGGGACTCCTTGTTGTCTAACAGTAGTTGAGGTCATGGTACAGCTTTCCCTGCAGTCTGGGCACTAGCTGTGTCCCTCTCCTTCACTCTGCTGCCTGTTGTTGTTAAACTTCTAAGAGTTTAATCTCTGTCAGGTTCAGTTCAGACCAGCCACCAAGCCCAAGAGTCGAAGACTAAGAACTGCTCCACCGGGGTTCTCACAGATCTTGTGAATTGAGTTTTAACCAAAGGGCAGAAAATAATTAAACCTGCTTGCAAAACTCCACTCCCTCTCTCTGGAGTGGCCCCATCCTTACCTCCTCGAATTTCTCCTTCCAATAGACGTCAGCCTTTGCATCCAGGTAGAGCAGAACCAGGTCACAGACCACTGTGGCCTGGAGACAGACAAACACAGCAGGGCAGTCAGCAGCGAAACTTCCTGCAGGAGTGCCAGGCCCTCTGCCCTGGCTCCCACAGAGCCCTACAGCCGGCTGTGGGCCAAACTCCAGCACCTGGCCCATGTTGGGGGCAGTGAGCCTGACCTGCCTCCGGCCCAGGCCAGCTAGGCAGCTCCACCAGGTCCTCTTTGACCCAACCTGCTCCCATGAGCTGCGCAGGAGGTTAGATGTGATCATCTGGGCTGCAATGAGGGATGGAGGGTGAGGGCTGGTCCAGCGGAGAGCCACCATCACAGCCACGTAAGGGACTGGGATGAGCATGTCTGAGAGGAAAGAGGGGGCGTGTGGGGGAACCCAGGCTTCCCATTACTCTGCTGCAAGGGAAGAACCACAGAAGTGCTCTACAAGGGGCTGCCCCATCTCAATGACTGCAATGCCATGTCTGTACTGGAGCCAGACACTGGCTCCCTTTAGAGTCAGGGAAGAAACACAGAGAAGAGGTGCTCTCTCCTGCTGGCCGAGATAGCTGGAACAGACTAGCCAGCAATGCCCCAGTGATGCACCTTCCCAGGGTCAACACAAATACCCAGCCCCCATGAGATGTGCCCCGGACAGTGCTCAGGATCCTTGATCCGGCAATGTCATTACTGCTAACAGTCACAAATAGGAAAATGGGAGCTAACACCCTGCCAGACAATCTCCCCTTCCTGGGCTGGCAGGCACCCAGGAAGCCTTGTGCCCAGGCAGGCAGGCAGGGGAAACAACAGATGAGTGGCAAATCCCAACCCACGGACAGGAGGAAAAAAGCATATCTAGAGTACTCACGGCACCAAAGAATGCGATGCTGGTACCGAAGCTCACAGCAACAGGAATTATGCCGAACTTCCCAGCCTGGTCAGAAACAGTGGGTGGAGGGGGAAGACAGTGGGTGGAGAGTGGTGAGAGGACTGTGGGACAAGCCCCACTGGGCAGCATGCTTAAAGGCAGGGAGGTGCTGGAGGAAAACAGGGTCACTTCTCCATGCCCAGCTGTAGGAACCTGACTGCTATTGCCTTGACGCAGAACCCCTTTGGCTGTCAAAGAAGGGATTGAGGCAGCTTGTGACTCGGTGGCAGCAGAGGTTACTGTGACCCACCTACTCCTGCAGGCCCAGTGGGAGCCTTCCTCTTGCTGCAGGACCCCAGCAGCTGCCACCCATGGAACTACATCCCAGCGAACAGCAAACACAGCCCTGATGTGATGTGTCCCTCTCTGCTCAAATGAGCCTGGTATCTCTGAGGAAAGAGATTTTTGGGTTCCTGTCTCTCTCCTGGCTATTCCCTCCCACGCCACCCCTCCTGGACCCGGTCTCACTACCCAGAAGTGGTGCACCCTGTCCTGCACTGTGTGCTTTGCCCTCTTTAGGTGAAAAGGCCCCTGCTAAGCATGGCAGAACAGCTGTGGACATCTCTCAGGGTGGCAGGTCCTCTCAGCACAGGCTCTGTCTTGCGCAGTTGAGTATTGAGCTTGTCAGTGATGCTGCACAGAATGGTGTCAGCCATGATCATGCCCAGGCCTTTTCTTGCCCCAAGGACACACCTAATCAAGAAGGGATCAATTGTCCATGTTCAGAAAAGTTCAGGTTGATCTTTGCCAGGGTGCTCCCACCACAAGACCCTCAGAGATGCCCACAGGCCCTCTGCCCAGACAAGCTCACCTTGCCTGCAGGGCCCAGCACTTCACCACACCCATGTTACATCCTCAGCTAGGAAGCCTCCCCGCTCAGGGCATTACCAAGAAATTTCTCTTCAAATGGCCAAGACCATTTTTTCCTGCTCTGCTTGGAAAACTCTGGAAAGAGGTGAAGAGCTCACCAGGGTGGGGAGAAGCGATGCCAGCAGGAAGCCATGCGGCTGGCTGCAGGAGAAAGCAGCAAGGAGCAGTGCGAGGAGTCAGCCCGGGTGAGAAGGCCGCCAGGACTGCGCATGCGGGGTCTGCAGAGGAGACGGTACCTGGCCGTGCACGGAGATGTCAAAGCGGATGCCATAGAGCTTCAGCAGGTTCCGGTAGAGCCGCCGCTGGGAGTCCCAGTAGTAGGAGGCAGTTCTGCAGGAGACATTGGATGCAGCTCAGAAAGCCATGACAGCTCTGCGCAGGCAGTGCGGGAAGAGGGCTGCCAGTGCCATACGACTGCTGGGGCTACCATGTGCCTGTGCACACCTTGTGTCCTCCAGCCGGCTGGGACGTGGGTGATGCACATGCTGCCATGACTCACCAGCTTGGCATCAGCAGTGGGGCATCAGTGTCCACTTGGCACCCAGCCCGGGGTCACTGGAAGCATGCAGCTCACAGTGTGTCCAGTTCAGAGTCAGCATGGGTGTGGACAGCCACATGTCCCTGCCCTCAGGCAGGTAATGCCTTGCACAGCTCCAAAGTGAGCAGAGCTACAAGGTGCAGGAACTACCACAGCAGCCCAGTACTGAGAGACCCTGCGCTGAGTTACCACATCCCGTTGTCCCTGCTGCTCCTTTCAGATAATCAGTCAGGAAAACTGAGATCTCAAACGATTGCCATGTGCTCAACCCACAGGCCTGTGTGGCTACTGTCCCTGCATCCTCACCTAAAATTGTACCTCCTGTCCTGCAGGCTGAAGGAGTACTGCGGCTGGCACTGGGCAGCGGGGTGATCCAGGTCACAGTCCCACTCAATGCGAACTCCGATGCTCCCCCCCTGCAAAACACATTTTATTCCAGAAGCACGGGATCAGAGATTTGCTGAGTTCTTTACTGTTCAGACATTCCCAGATCACACATTCCCTTAGCATTTTAGAGGTCAGTCCTGTCCCCCAGCCCTTGCCCACATCCTTGGGGAATTTGGAGTCATCTTGCATACTTTTAGAAAAACAAGTACCAGCAGTGCAAGGTCCCCAAAGGTCTCTCCAGCTGCCTCCACCATGTCACGGACACGGAAGATGGGGCAGGAGGGGTTGAAGAATGGATCGTACGTGCAACTCTTGAAATAGGTGGGGTCATTGGTCTGCAAAGTATTGCACCTGAGACAGGAAAGAGAGAGAGGGGGAGCTGTCACAGGTGGAGTGGGGTGTGGGAGGTCAGGGAGCCCTGCTGCAGGACTGAAAAGGAGATGCTCCCGCTGGATTGGGACCACTAATGCTCCTGCTTTGGGGGGAGACAGTCATTGCATCTCCTAAAGCCTCAGTTGGAGAGAGGGTGGAGGGAAACCAGCCCAGAGGAATCACACATGGAGTTATCATCCTTTACAGCACCTGCCATGGTCCTTCCCCTCTCAGCTCCTCTCCTCCACCTCTGTCTTTGTGCTTCTCCTTTCTTCCCCGGCACCTAGCTCTCACTGCTGTGAGATGTAATGACCCAGCTTGAGTTAGCACTCTAGGGGTGATAGCAGGGGCAGTTCAGCTGCCCCAAGCCATGTCACCTGCCAGAGTAAGGCAGCACAGTCAGCATGCCTGGGGAGGTGAGGCCAGTGCAGCCTCTTACTGGGCCTCAGTGAAACCATTTTGCAGGGACTACAATGCAAAAATATATGGGGTAAAATGAGACCTTGGGAATGACTAGCCTTGTCCAGCTCTGTCTGCAGTGCTCTAGACAGGCAGACAGACACCAGTCCCTCTCTGAGGGCTCCCCATCCCATTGCTCTTACATCCGCAAACACAGGTGCTGCTGCAGCGACCGGCATTCTCCTGAACACACCATCCTGAATCGTAACTGCCCCAGGCACCATCCGTTCTGGATGGCACGTGGCTTCTTGGGACACCTTGGCTGCTCAGCCCCTAGGCAGATAAGCTCAGTGCAGGGGCTGGACTAGGCTGCATGCAGTCTGGCTGGAGGAGCATCATACTTACTTGGAGAAGTTGAATTTGGTGAAGTGGACAGTATTTTTTATAAAAAGCGTGAAATTCTCCGCCTCAGCCAGAAGAGGTTTCCTGGAAAAAAACCACCAACAAACTCAAATTTTGCACAGTGGCCAAGGCAGGTCCCAATTCCCTTTGCCCTACAGTCTCTTCCATGATCCAAGGACTTTGGCTACAATGGACAGTTGCAATAAATGCTCTTGCGTGAAGTTCTCTTGGCTTAACTGACCAGCAGATCAGTGTCAAGGGTCTCCCTGAGCCTAGCTGCCCCTCAGGCAAGTATGATCAGGCTCCTGGTTACACAGAGTACAGAGGGAAGCAACCAAAGCTCTCAACGCCTGCTGTCCCCTCACTCTGTGTCTTACCTGGGCAGGGTGGTGTTCTCCACAGGACACCAGCCATAGATCTCACAGGTGGAATGGGTGGTGTTAAACATCACACATTTCCCAGTTTTTATCCCTAGAAATGAGACAATGTATATAATTTACTACTTTTCCAAACCTCTTCTCTACAGCTCCCCTCCTGGGATAGTGCCCTGGCCACGGGCTTGTTCTGGCCTTCTCAAAACCTGAACTACAAAAACGACCCTGGGATCATCTTCAGTGTTTTTCCCACCCAACAACTTCCTTGTGAAACCTTCCCTCGAGGCCAAATGACAGGAGCTGTTTTACAAAGACAAGAAGCTGCTTGCTGCTGTCAGCACCCGTCTGTCCAGCGCAGCCTCTCCTGCCCCATGGCTGCTGAAGCCACCTGCTCCCCGGGTGGGAACACAACAAACTGGGGCAATCCCGCACACAAAGCTTTGGCAACCAACCTCCTAGAGCTGAAATAGACTTTTCTGGCTGAACTCACATGGGCTGCTAATATTAATCAGCATGAAATAAAAGACAGGTTGTATTATGAAAGGAAAACCTGCCAATCACACGGCACATTGGTTTCAATTCCAACAGCCAACATCAGAAACAAAGCACCCCTGTATTTGCTGTGACAGCGCCTTGTGCCTGCAGCACCTGCTTATCCAGCTGTGACAGGTAGCTGTAAGGTTTTGCCAGGAACAAATGGCTGGAGAGCAATTCCGTGCACACTTACAAAAAGCACTGAACTCAGGCAATTAGGCACCCTTGTGGATCTGTTTGCTACCAAACATGAGGAATGAAATGATTTTATGTTTTTTAGCAAAACAGCTAGTACCGTTGCCACGAACCACCGGGTTTCCCATGGGACAGTCTGCATCTTCTGTGCACATCGCATCGAGAACAGAGGGGCTCTGAGAGACAGAGAGCAGTGCTGTTACTGTGCTGTGCAGCCACCTGAGGCCATGCAGTCACTCACCCACATTTCTGCGCTGCTGCTCCTGTTTCTCCAAGCACGTCCCAAACGCTTACAGAAGACATCCTCCTTGTCCAGCACCTGGGCAGCCTCCAGCCAGCAAGGAGAGAGGCATCTCCGAGGGGCAATCCTTCCCGCCTGTCTCCACGCTCTCTGGGGTGCTCGCCTCCTCCACCTCAGAGGCAGAGGAAGCCTTGAGCTAGCTCATACCTCTCGGCTGGGACCAGGAACAAGCACAGTTGGGTTCAGGAGTGCCTTAATGGCAGAGTCCATTAAGGACCTCGTGAAGCACCACCACAATTCCCCAGGGAAGAGCTGAAGAGACCCTAACTACAGCATAACACAAGTTTTACAGGAGACACTGAAAGCTTCACCCTCACTCTGGACCCACCCGATTGCCAGGAGCAGCAAAAAGCTCCTATTCAAACACAGATAGATGATAGAGGCAGGGCCATACAAGTAATACCTTCCCCCAGCTACTCCCAGGCCATCACAGGAGTCACCAGTCCATCAGAAACCCACCTCCCCAAGCCCAGAGGCCCAAAGGCAGGTGGGGAAACCCCAGTTATGAAGTCAGAAGAAGGGGGGTCTGTCCAGGCCCTACCAGGGCTGTCCCAGGACAGCCTCAGGCCCTTGTTCCAGGTGTGAAACCCACCGTAATGAGCTGAGAGGAGCAGCTCTCTGAAGCACCTTTGGGCTGGGTGGGGGTATCAATGCCTAAGGGTATGGGAATCATTATGGGATGCAGGAGAAGAGCATTTTGGGATCACACAGGACATTTAGGGGATGGGATGTTTAGGAGAGGAAGAAAAAGGCATGGAAAAGGAGGGATCTAGGTGATCTGAGAAGGAACAAACATTGGAAAGTAAAGGGATAAAAGGATGCAAAGGACTGGTTGCATGTACAGAGCTGGCTGGTCAGTATGCTGGTCCATCCATGCCCTGTACCCCATCAGCACAGTCTGTCCTGCCTTCGGACTAAACTCCATTTCTAACCATTTTCCTGGGTGAGGGGCTCTATTCTGTGTGCACATTGTGTGTATGTATGGGGGTCTGAGTGCGAGCAGCTGGAGCGGGAGCACCAGTTGTCACAGGGGCCCATATGCCTGGGTGCCACCAGCTGCAAGTGCAGATGTGCATGTGAACACAGCAAACTTTGGGCCGAACGAGCCAGCGAGGAGGTGGCCTGGGAGCAAGGGGAGGGTGTGTCTGAAGGCAAGTCCGCAGGACTACCAGAGGGACCACGGAGACCTGCCCAACTGCTGGAGAAGGATGGCTACCAGATTTGTGCCCCTCACCCCCCCGATGGCCCACTCATAGCTTGCAGCACCCACCTGCAATGCTGCTATAAGTACTTATGAGAGCACTTGTCATCCTGGATCCAAATCAGATGTCAAGGATTCAGCCTCCAGAAGGACCCAGACAACAAGTATTGGCAGGTGAGTGTATCAGTCCCTTCCCAAGTCCAGGTAACAAGACACATGACAAGTGCTACTTGGCAGACAGACATTCTGGGTGTTCAGGGCACAAAAGCTGCAAAGCTTGGGAGAAATTCAGGTACTGAAGTCTGTGATGGTGCTACAGAAAACCTAAAACTTGGCCAAGAAAGTTTCAACCTCTCCTACCACCTTTTAGTGGAAATGAGCCTTGAAAAAATCTGTCGGTGCTTGGCATTCTCCACAGGCACGATCCAAACCAGGTTACATGTGCCACAAGGGCATTGTGAGAGAAGCAAAGAGATCTAGACTCAGTTAAAAGCCCTCATGGGGCCCTGGATCTGTGCTCCTAAAGCTCTCTAAACTGTTGCTGCATCTTGGTTGTGTAAGGGTCTAAAAGCTTGGGAAAATTAGGAGAAACAAATTTTTGTAAGAACCTACCCAAGAATGGCAGGTTTGGGACAGGACAGAATTATGAGCACACCAGCATTTAGAACAGGTTTCTTGACAAGCAGGTGAACTACTACACATTTTTAGAAGACATCCCCCAAGGTGCTCACAGCAGAGCTCAGATGCTGCTCAGAGTTCATAGCATTTGTGTTCCTGGGACGGGGTGATTTCAGACGGGGGCAGCAAAGAAGTGCTTGTGTTGACAACAGAGATCTGTGCATAAACACTACAAACCTCAGGGCTGAAAGGTTTATATTTACTTTCTGTAGTCACAAATGCATGGGTAGAGAATGACTTTATTCTTAATCTTATTAGAAACAATTGCTGATTCTCAGCCATTGACAGCCATGCAGCCACATACCAGAGGCCAGGAAGTAAAGTGAACCTTCTTGGAGAACAAACCACCAGCAGCATCACATGTGAGCAAGGAAAGATGAGGATTTCTGCCAAAATCTAACACCCCCCTCATCTCCTTAGGACACGATCCAGTGTTGCTTGGGGCTGGGACCAGTGCCACTCACGTGCACATCCATCAGCAGCATCTGGACCTGTAAGAGGTGAGCACAGCTGGATGTGCTAGAGACCATGATATAAGTGAGATGGTCCCTTAGCCCCAGAGCTTGCATCTGGGCAGAGTGGATGCACTGTCTGACTCATGCCTTCTGGCTCTAAGTCTATTTTGGTCATCTTCATTAACCTTCAGAGCACCTTGTGAATAGAAGCAGAGGGTTTCCAACTACTCAAAGTATTTGAAATTAACACTGAAAGGTCTCCCTAAGAGATAAGTCACAGCTCAGCCACAGATCTGAGCTCAACACAGACATCAGCTGCTAAAACAACCCATCCTGTGCTCAGCTGCTGCCTCTGGCCCCACCCAGACTTTTCCCTGGTCTGCCAGCACAGAATACCTTGGTAATCAAGAATATTCAGAACTTCCTGCAAAGTCAAAAGCTGTCACAGCTACATCTTCAAAGTTTTCCAAACATCAATGTCAGCCACAGCCCCAAAGTCAGGAACTGAGAAACTACTGGAGAGCAGCACAGGGTGAAGGCTGTGACAGGCACCCAGACACACCACAGCGCTGTAATGGGATGAAACGCTCTGCTCTCTCTGTATCCTTGCCTTGCACGCTGCAAAAACAAGCATCCAGAGATGCCCATGACTGCCTGTGAGAGAGCCTTGAAATGCTCTACAGCACATGTCTTCCTCCGGGGACGTTCCTGCAGCTATCAGTACTTTAGGAGTTCTCAACGTTTTGAAGAGGGATCACTAGTACCATTTTCCCTGACCCCAAACTGGGGTTGCTCCTCCTCTCCCGCAGCCTGTGGCCTGTGTTTGGAGAGCAGCCCAGCCCGGCAGCCTGCAGCACAGGGTGAGCTGGGAAGCAGGATCAGGCTGGGCACAGCACAGCAGGCCACAGGAAAAGCTGAAGGGGCCATTAGGACAAACAGTACTTGGCTCAGGCACAAGGTGCCAGCAGTGGCTTAGCTTAGAAGACATTTGCTCCTGTCTGCCAAGCAGGGTCCAGCCTGGGAGAGTTCAGCTGAGGGGCTGGCCTGAATCCAGACTTAAAGGGAAGATCTATCCCTCAGAACATATACCACTAAGTGTTGGCTGACTGGGATACCACCTAGAGCTTGTGCTCTGTTCCTCCTAAAAATAGAACACTAAGATGGAGAGGATACTAGTCCTGCAGCAGAGAGTTATGAAGGAAACATGACACAGGTATCCATGGAGTGTGTGTAAAAGCATCAGGAAAAATGGCAGAACAGAGGTAAGAGAATGGATCAGCAAGTCAAGAAACCAAGAATATACGTGAGACTCAAGAAGGAATATGGATAACAGAGGTATTAGCTGGGGATGGCAGTGCTGATGTCAGCCACACTGCAGAGATGGAATAGCAATGGGGCAACACAGCTCAGCCTCCCCAGAGTGGCCCTTGTCCAAAGGCAGCAGAAAGCCTGTAAAGATCATACAGTATTACCACCCCTCAAGAAGCCCAGAGAGCTGGTGAGGCCCCAACAGACCACATCCCTTGTCCTTCTGATCACCACAAATGATTCTGGCCAGACTGATCGCATACACGTCTTGGTTCATGCAGGTATGACAGAGCAAGTTCAAAAGAGCAACTAAGATCTATGGAGCCATGAGAATGAGGGGAATCAGCTTTGTTTGGAATAAAAATCCATTTTTCCCTTCTGTCTGGTCTTGCACTGGGTTCTGCTGGGTTCCCGCACAGCTACAGAGCAGCAGTACTGACTGGCTTCATAAATCTAACCCCACCGCGGCGCTGGGCTAAGGAAGAGCACAGCTCACTTACCTCGGGACAGGTGCCCTGACCTTGCCTCGCTGTAGCGATGAAATTGGTCACCAGAAAAAGCACATTTTCTCCCTAGGAAGCAAGAAGGCGCCTTCAACAGGGGAGTTACACCGCCGCGCTCCTCAGCGGCAAAACAACGGACAAATTTGCTTTTTTGGCTTTGCCATTCACAACGTTAGCATCGCCTCTCCTTTCCCAAAGGGTTTTACCACAGCTTTTGCCGACCCCCCCAGGGCGGGGGCCCGGCCGTACCTGAGGGGGCCGGGCGTAGTCCGCCGCGTCCCACAGCCGCCGGCCCGCGCCCCCCACCTCGGCGACCGCCGCCCCCTTCAGCTTGGTGACAACGGCGGCGCGGGGGGCCGGGTCGGTGTCCTGGTAGCCCTTCTGCACCAGCAGCACCCAC